ACAACTTTAATTTAGAATTATAAAATTAAAAAATCTTTTTTCTTTTTCTTAAACTCCATTTCAAGTCAAATAATGTCATCCTTTTTGAAATGGAAAAAGTATTTAATTTCAAATTGAAGGATAATTTATTTAAAATTGGTGTTGAAATACCAAAAAGTTTAATAAATTGTAGCATTATAATCAAATAAGGCAAAATATATAACATCCTACCTTGTGACTATTGGTCTACGGTGGCCACTGCATGTGAAATCATTGCAAAGGCCCTTGAGAAAAAGAAGAATTGAAGTCTCAAATGAGTTATTTATGTAGACTTCAATTAACTTCTCCAAATAGAAAGAGGACCTCACCAATACCAACGGTTTGTTTGGTAGTTGATAAAAGTTATATACATATTAATAATATAGAAATTAATTTTATGAGTATATATATATATATATATATATATATATATATATATATAATTCAAACTTTCTATCACATGCACACAATAATGAATCGATTTTGAAAAAAATTTAAATTTATAAAAAATATAAATATAAATTATATAAAATATAAAATATAAAAAAATTAATATATATTAAATAAACCGGACCGGATCGGACCGGAACCGGAATGAACCGGGATGAACCGGTACCGGTACACCGGTACGAAACTACGGTTCCGTCCCGTTCCGTGTACCGGTTTAGAATATCCCGGCCCGTCCCGTAGGCAACCGAAACGGGACGAACCGGAACGAACCGGAACGGTACCGGTACGTCCCGTTCCGTTGCCCAGTCTTAGTTCCGACACATAGAATTAGGGGATCGGGTGTCACGAACCGACACATAGAATTAGGGGATCGGAGTGTCACGTTCCGACACATAGTAGTAGGGGATCAGAGTGTCACGTACCGACACAAGAGGCATAAAGATAACGAATCTTGAAAGATGTTAATATACTCAATCTAATGAACCTAATTCCCAATTGAGTATGGTACTGAGGCTTGAGTCCTCATGTGTGAACTTGGCGGTACTTGGTAAAGATTATAGTACTTGTTGTTGCTACATGTTGAGTATTGTAGTTGATTTATGATATTACTTGATATATACTGTTTCCTATTTTGAGTTGGCCGATGATACCTACTCAGTACTTGTGTTTGTACTGACCCCCTACTTTTATGTTTTCTTCCTTGTTATTTGTGGAGTGCAGCAAACGTGTCGTCGTCTTCAACTCAACCGCAATTCTAGCCAGTCTGCAATTATACCGGATTTCAGGGTGAGCTAATGCTTCTAGCTTGGACTGGATCTTCTTCTTCATGTCTTGATGCCTTGAAGTTCCGGCATGGGCTAGCCTTTCATTTGTTTTAGCTTCTTAGAATACTCTTAGTTTAGTAATTTGATCATAGATGTTCTTGTGATGATGACTTCCAGATTTTGGGGATAATAATAGTTATTGATTTTATTAATGAGTTTAAGTCTTCCGCATTACTTTCTGTTGATATTATATTGAAATGTTAAGGATTAGATTGGTTGGTTCGCTCACATAGGAGGGTAAGTGTGGGTGCCAGTCGCGATCCGATTTGGGTCGTGACACTGCCATACCCATCACTTAATTTGAATTATGAAATAGAAGGAGTACCACTTTTTTTAATGGGCATGTAATGACATAAATTGGCATTTATTTTGTTCATACAAATTAATTTTCACGTAATTCTAAAATTTTCAATGTATATGCAATATTAATTAGTAAGATATGACATGTGTTGCCCAAAATCCAAAGTAAACTTAAGCTTTCCATTACAATGTAATCAATAGTACAGTACTTAGTGGAGGAATAAATATCTGTCACAAAAATATGAATGTATAAGAAAAGTAGAAGTGTTATATGAAACATGAGGTAAGAACATAGTTTATGGTTCAATTGTATGTAAATTGCAAATTAGAGAAACAATATAATTTTAAAATGTCTTGGAATACATTATCTATTAGGGAAGAGTTAAATGAATTGATTGAGAAGATCTTCTACATATTTCTTTAATTATATTCCATCTTCCTTTATCGTAGGAAAGTTAATGCATTGTTGTGTTTATAAATGACATTGCACATCTGTTCATATTGTCTTATATAAGAATCTTTTCCTACTCACCACCTAGCTAAAAGAAAATAACAGTCACCCACACATTATTGCGTCTCTTTTTAATTTTTGCGATATTATTTGAATTTTAAAAATTAAATAATAATTTTAATGTGAATTTATGCATGAAATATTTATGTTTTCTAATATAAAACTTAAAAATTACGTAAAAATAATTATAAATCATAATAATTAATAATATTATATTTAAAAAATAGATAACAAATTTACACAACTTTTTTTTTTTTAAATTTCAAAATATGAAAAACAGTAAGATAAATTAGGTGGAGTTACATTTTGTGAATGTCCTAAATTATCTCCAACTCAGTCTTTGCCCAATCATGTTTATGCACTTTTATATAATACGATGTATATCGAATACTGTCATCAATTTTGTGATTTTCAGTGAATATATTACATGTTAAAAAGGTGATATGAATTTACCTTCACTGTTTATTAAGTGCTACATATTAGACTACCAACATATGTATTATATATCGAATTTTTTTTAATAAAAAGTATATATTAGCTCCAAATCGTAAAATTTAGAAGATATTTATCCTTTTCAATTTACATTATATACTCCCTTCATGTGACTATTTTATTCTTTTTAGTCATTTCCAAAAGACACATTTTTTCATATTTAGTAAAAGATTCTTATTAATCTGAATAAAGATAATTTAGGATCATATATTTATCTATAATTTATTATCCAAATGACAAGTTTAACAAGTTTTTTTCCCCTCAAGTTTTATACCGAATCAAAGATTTTCACATAGGAAGACCATTAATCCAAAAGAAGAGCAATGCTTTATATAGTCAATTAATGATCCGTTAAATGTTAATCCCATTCGATTACAATAAAGGTACTACCTTCGTCTCAATATATTAGACACTTTTCAAATTTTGAAATTCAAATAAATTTATTTTAGATTTAATTGTAATTTTTTTAATATATTTTTTAATTATTTTAAATTTTCAAGTATTGTAACTTATAATAATTTTTAAATAATTTACAAATATATAAATTTCATTTTAAGAAAATTAAAAATTTCATGTGCAAATTTCTCATGAAACTTAAACTTTTAAAGTCCCAAAAAATAAAAAAAATATCTCATAAATTAAGGAGCAACACATTCATATAATTATGTTACAGTGAATTCGTCATATGATCTAGACAGAAAATAATTTTATAAAGAGCTAGCATTATATTTTTTTACTTTTATCAAGCTTGACAAGACAATATTCGTAGAACATTATATTACTTGAAACTGCCATGTGCAATTGTCCTCTAAACCTAGGATTATCATCACTAATCAACCAACAAATCAAGGATTTTGCTTAATAAATAATTAATTAAGAGTGTCAAGAACATAGACATTAATTGCTTCCCATCTTTTAAAAAGATAATACTCACATTGGCAACTTTTATCGCAATATATTACTATACCAGTTATCTAAATCAAATTTGATCACTCTTAAATATCTTATTTTATTGAGACATCACTAATTGGAGTACGTTAAGGGTAAACTGAAGAAAATAATAATAAATACTCTTTTTAAAATTTGAACAATACAATTTGTCACAACGAATGATATTTTGAAATGAAGTCAGTTTGTTTATACGTTTACATAGTTTGCCAAAACAATGATAACCAAGATCCATAGTATATTTTTGAATTTATTCTTTTTTGAAGCAAATGTGTTTAAAACCCTTTAATCATTTGAGATAGTGGTGTACTACCATAACTTTATAGTATAACTTTTTGTAAAATGTTTCCACCTTTGATCACATAATTAAACTTGCACTTGGCTTCTTTATCTGTATAAGATAGATAAAGATTCTTTTATATTTAACTAAAATTTCGATTCAAGCCTCATGAAACGCTTGGTGGATCCAGATGGGTGAAAGGGTCATACAATTGACCTTCTTCCAATAAAAAATTATACTATTTCTACGTAGTTTCTTTTTTTTTTTCACCTTCTCATAATAAAGTTTTTGAATCCCTTGTTTGAATTTTAGACTCGATCATTGTTGGTAGGTGTGTGTAAAGACTGAGCAATGGATCGGAATGGGATCATCGGATCGGAATGAACCAGTACTAGATTGAAATGGGACGAGTTGATTGGTTTGTTGATCGATATCGGGATGAACCGGACTGGAATTATTGGAATGGATACTCGATTCCGTCCCGTCCCACTATATACCGGAATGGAACCGGAACGGACTGGATCGGACCGGAATGGAGCGGCATGGCATAAACGGGATGACACATCTAGTTATTTCAAAAAATGATTTTTTGAATTACGAAAATATGAATCTTTTTTTATTCTTCTAAGTTTAAATTAATAGTTTTCAGATTTATAATGTAATTGTTTACTTAAGTTATTTTGAAGATGTTTTTTATAAAAAATTTACTTATTAAGTTTGCAAGTTAAGTCTAATTAAGTTTTCGAGATTTAAATCTTTTGAAGTTTATAAGTTATTACTCATTATTTATTAATGTGTTACTTATAAGAAATATTTATAACTTGTAATTTAAATAAATTAAATTTCTAATTTAAAAAATTAAATACAATAAGAATAAAACAATTACACAAATTAAAATATATCAATTTAATTTATTTAAACACTACTAGAAATCATGCTTGTAGCAGCAATTATTTAGCAACAATTAAATATATGTTGCAATAGATACTCATTTGCAACACTTATAACATTTGCAATAGACAACTGAACCTAATGAAACACTTTAAGAGTTAATTCGTTTCATTAGTACGATAATCGTTGCCATAGTATCTCTATATTGCAATGGTTTGTGAAAATCGTCGCCTTAGGTTCTCTATGGAAGAGTTCCGTCAATTATTTTTCCACGCTTAATTCCCTCCACTTATTTCACTACACCCGCCAATTTTTTTAATTAATTGTTGAATTAAAATAAAAGGTAAATATATCAGATTAACTAGGTCAATATTCATCACTATTTGGAACAAGCCTCGTAAGTATCATACTTCTCTCTCTTCTCTCTCTGAAGAAGAACGTAAGTTCATCCATGGCCTTAACCATTTTCCCTTGCTTTTCGTTGCAGGAATCTGCCACCTTCGGGTTTTTTTCTTCATGAGTTGTACGTTTCTGCAGCTACAGGTATGTTGTGTGTCATTTTCTTCAAAGTTAGAAATTTGTTTGAAGCTAGGGTTCTTGACAAATGAGTTACTTTAAAGTAGTTTTTGATAGAGTTAATGTTTATAATGTCATCTTTTTGTGCATTAAAGTGTGTATTTTGATTTTGGTGAAGATTGAGAAATCTCTGCAAAAATGTTAGATGAAAATTTGTAGTTTAGGAAGAATAAATATTAAGAAAGATGAGTTTCGATTCTTCAATCTGCATGATAGTTCTTATCAATTGAAAAATCTTTTGTTTTTGAACCATACAGAAGATTTCTAAGAATAAAATCTTCAATCTAATAGTTCCGATCTAAGTATTTTTCTACTATAAAAGTCCTTGAAGTCGAGCATTAAGGGATTTTGTTTCTCTCTTCCGAGTATATTATTGAAGTTCTAAGTTTAAACTTTCCTCCTTGTCTGAACTTTTTTAGTGGAGAAACTACAAATTAGTCATCATCAAGCTCAACTCAGTACTGCTAAAAAAAGAGGTAATGTTCCTATTTCTGTTTTTTCTTTCTTTTTCTTTTTTTTTAACTTTGATGTACATCTGTGTGTCGGAATCTTTTTCCTACTTAAAAAGTAAGTCTTTCCAATATTGAAATAACTTACCTTCAATTAAATATAATTTGAAGCTACACTTGAAATGTAGATGCATATTTTGTTTGAATGTTATAATACAACCTGATGGAGTACAGTTTTTGCATTTCTTATCATCGTATGATGTCTTAATGAATCTTGTAGCACTTGTTTTCAGTATAGGCATATAAAATTATGAAAATAAATAGAAATGTGAGTGACCTGCACATCTATTGATTTAATGTTCTTGAATATGTTAACTTTGATGTAATGTTCAAGTTGGTAATGTTCTGGTTTCTCTTACAATCTCTGTTCATTATTGCTTATTCAATTAAATCATTCCATATGACTATGTTTTTTAAATTTAAGGTTTGTATTGTAAGTTCAGAACGTTGAAATTTTTTTACTTTATGGTTTTACTGTAAAAAGAAATTCATAATAATTTTTCTTTGTTATGAGTTAAGAGCTTTGATAACAAGATCATTCATGTTATATTCTGCCTCAGTGAACTCTATCTCATCCATTCCTTTCTAGTGTACCAATGCAAGAAATGTATTCTTCTGAACATAGTTGTGTAGTGGTGGTGTGTATTCTTCTTGTAAGGCTTTGAGTGTTAACAATATATCTAAGGCTGCTTTTATATTTGGATCTTCATGTCTACATTTAACCATATATCCAAGTTCTCTAAAGCTGCTCCTTGTTTTTTCTTATAAATATTAAGCTTTACTATTGAGTTGCTTAGTTTCTTTAGTGAGGTTATTGACTTGATTTTGTTGTCTTTTCATGCGTTTCACTTGTCTCTTAATTTTGTATTTAGTTTCCTTTTTGTCTACACTCATTTTCATTTATGTGTGTATGAATCTTGATTTTTACTCTTCTGTTTGTGCTGTTTATAATTATTTTCAGATGATTTATTCCCCGTATATATGTGCTCTTTAAATGTTGTGCATGTATAGATAATTTAGAGTGTTGGACAAGATTTCCCTTTTATGTGACTTTCCTATTAGTCTTTTTTTTTCTGATTCATGTTGTATTTTGTGATCATTGCTGATTCTAGAACTGTGATTTAGTTCATACTGGGTTGGTTTGAACAATAACTTATCCTCTCAAGAGGGAATGTTGCAATGTGTGTTGCTTAGTTTGTTCTGTGAGGTTGTTGTCTTTGACAAAATAATATTATGTTGTGTATTTTTTATATGAAATTCATTACATCTTGTAAGTGTTTAGATTTGTCAAAATTGTTTGACTTTATTGTCATGTCTTATTATCTTTAGATTGAGTTTTTATATTTTAAATCTTTTTTTTTCTCTTTTAACTAGTTGTAATTATAGGTAAAATTGGTATTGTTAAGTAGACAACTAATTAAGTATAACGAAAGTTCAAGGAAAACATTTTAGTTATGTTGTTGCATAAAATAAGATAGAGCCACTAATCAGAATCTTTTTTTTATATGTATTATCTTGTTAATTTTGATTTTGGTGTCATATAGGATATTCAATATTAAAAGGATAGTGGAGATAAAAGTTGGATGGGCATACGGAGATCCACCAATGAGTATATCAGTGGGGTGAATAACTTTCTTGATAAAGCTTTTGAACTAGATTCCAAAGGAGAAGAAATATTGTGTCCTTGCAAAAAGTGTTCTAATTGTAGGTGACATCAATGGAATGTTGTAGATGGTCACTTGATTGTTTATGGGTTTGTACAAGGGTACACCAAATGGATTTTTCATGGAGAAAGTATTTCCTCCAAAAATAATCCATATCATAATAAGGAAGGTTCCAACATGCGTGACAATATTGATGGCCTACTTTATGATACTTTTAGAGATGTTGCAGCTAATTTGGGGGTTGAGGGAGTGAGAGAGGGTTTATCTGAAGATGTAAAGAAATTTTGTAAGTTACTGGAGGAAGGTAAACAAGAGTTATATCCTGGGTGTAAGAAGTTCTCGAAATTGAATTTCACCATTCGATTATTTTTGTTCAAATGTATTCATGATTTGAGTAATGTGGCCTTTGGAAACTTGCTCGACATTTTAAGAGAGAAATTTCCATTTGCTCATATACCCGAGTCATTTCGCAAAGCAAAAAATGTGATGAAAGATTTGGGTCTTGATTATGAAAAAAATACATGCATGCCCTAATGATTGTATGTTATTTTGGAAGGAAAATTATAAGGAAGATAATTGTTCTGTTTGTGGCTCGTCTAGATGGAAGATTGTTAATGATCCCTTGACTAATGAAAGCACCAAAATTCCTGCAAAGGTTTTAACGTACCTTACCTTAAAGCCTAGGCTTCACAGAATATTCATGTGTCCTGAAACAGCTGTAAATATGAAATGACATGATATTGAACGACCCAAAGATAGAAATATTAGGCATGCGATTGACAGGGAGGCTTGGAAGAATTTTGATTCCTTGCACGAAGATTTTGCAAGTGATCCTCCTAATGTTAGATTGGGTCATTCAAGTGATGGTTTCTCAACCCATTTCGAACCATGAGTATTTCTCATAGCACATGGGCTGCTATGTTAATGAATTATAATTTGTCGTTGTTGATTTGCATGAAACCGGAGTATATGATATTATCTACTATCATTCTATGTCCATCGTCTCCAGGAAACGATATTGATGTCCACCTTCAACGACTAATTGAAAAGTTGAAAGAATTGTGTGAAACTGGGATTAAAACATATTACGATGATTCTTACCAAACTTTTCAATTGTGTACAGCCTTATTGTGGACAATCACTGATTTTCCAGCCTATGCAATGCTTTCTGGTTGGATCATAAAAGGAAGAAAGGCATACCAACTTGTAATCATGGGACATGCTCTCAATATATCAAGCATAGTCACAAAATGTGTTACATGGGTCATCGTGCATTATTACCTCCTGATCATCCATTTCGATGAGATAAGAAATCATTTGACGGTATAGAAGATCACAGATCTGCACCTACTCCCTTATAACGCACAGAAGTATTGGAAGAGTTGCGTGGATTCAATAATGTTTTTGGAAAGGGACAAAAGAGGAAGCGTCATGACAACGAGGGTCCATGGAAAAAAAGATCCATTTTTTTGAATTGCCATACTGGGAACATAACAAACCGAGCCATAATACTAATGTGATGCACCTAGAAAAAAATATTTGTGATAGTTTGTTCGGGACTTTGTTGGATGTAACTGAAAAGTCAAAAGATCATGTTAATTATCGATGTGAGTCGCTAGAAATGGGGATACGAAAGGAGATTCAACCAGTAATGGATGATAACAGAAAAGTTCATTTGGCTAAAGCTTGCTTCTCCATGAAACCAAAAGAGAAGAAGTTGTTTTGCCCTGTTCTTAAAAATGCCAAATTATCAAAAGGTTCTGTTTCAAATATATCAAGATGTGTGGAAGTGGATGAGATGAAAATATCAGGTTACAAGAGTCATGATGCTCATTTCATAATGCATTACTTGCTTCAAGTTGCTGTTATAAAAGTGTTGCCTAAAAAAGTTCCTATAGCTTTGATTAGTTGGGAAACTTTTTTAGAGTCATATGTGGCAAGGTGATAAGTAGAAGAGATCTTGATAAAATGCAGTTCGAAATCAATGACATTATGTGATCTTGAAAAGATTTACCCTCCATTCTTTTTTTATATAATGGTAGATCTTCCCATCTATTTAGTAAATCAAATGAAGTTTGAGGGTCCGACACATCTTCGTTGAATGTATTCCCCTTAAAGAAACCTATGTTTCTTCAAAGGGCTTGTTCGTAATTGATTTCATCTAGAAGCATCTATACTAGAGGAATTCGTGGCACCAGAGCGCATGAATTTATGTTCCAGATACCTACATGCTGGGGTGAAAACAAAACTCAGTCGATACCAATTAGAGGATGAGAAGGGAACTGAAACAAATGGAGATGATTTATCACCTATATTTCCTAAATTTGGCCATCCCATTGGAAGGGAGAAAAAAAGAAAAGGCAATAATTTTCACATGGATCTCCTGTTATGTGATGATATACATCGATATGTATTGTTTAATACATGATATGAAAAAATGGAGACCTTCATCATGTAAGATCTGTCACTTTTATTATAAACTTCAATACTTTTTATAAGATAAAGAGCTTTGAAACATGCTAATTTGAAATATGCTTGGTTTCATGGAACATAAGATTGTAATTGACAATCATCGTAGAGCAAATGCATGGATTGGAGCACAGAATCATAGTCAGAAATTTGGTAACCGGTTTAAGAAGAAAGTTAAATCTATTGAAGTGCCTGAACATTTACGAAAACTTTCTAAAGGGCCTAATACTGCGGCAAAAACGTATACATCATATTATATCAATGGATATAGATTTCATACAATGAAACGAGATAGCCAAGGTAAGAGTCAGAACTATGGAGTGACTTTCTCAGCAACGACTTCTAGTTTTACTAGCGCTAGAGACCAAAACCCATTGATGGAGAGGTTGTCTATTATGGAGTTATTCAAGATATCATAGAGATTGATTATTGGGGCTACTTTAATGTTGTCTTGTTTAAATGTGATTGGTTTTGTAATGAAGTAGATGAATATGGATTAAATCGGGTATATTTCAATAAGTTATGCAGTAATGAAGATCTATTTGTACTAGCATCTCAAGTGCATCAAGTTTTCTATGTGGAGGATCCAATTGAAAAAGATATTTATTATGCAAGGACTAAAGTCAGTGTTGATTTATTTGGTTTAGAAGATCAGAATTGTCCTAATATTGGAGACAAACTTTGGGGAGCCAGACAATAACGTTGGAACATCAAATCGAATATCTGATGTTGATCTTAGATGGTCGAGAGAAGATGTACCTGGCGATGTCATTGATATGCCAACTCATGATCAACATTCAGAAAACATGGAAGAAGATTATATGGACACATTAGAAGAAGATGAGGAATTTGATGATGTCGATTCGGATTGGATGGTGGCTGATGATTGACGAAGGAATTTTTGAACTTCTTTAAGTATATCTCTATTTCATTTTCCTATATGTACTATTGGTTTGAAAGTCAATTGAATGAATGCTGATTTTGCCTGTTTTATTCCTATTGTGTACTTCTGTGTTTTTGGGTTTTCTAAATATTATTAGAGATTGTTTTAGTGTTTCTTTTGCTGAAATGAGCTGATTGATTTTGCATCAACATTCATATGTGCATCAGGTTGCAAGAAGTGTTGATTCTGATTTCTAATTCACGCTTTCTACTTTTTTCTACTTTATTTTACTATTACAGTAATCTTATTTTACATGATTCTGTTGAAATGTCTAACTCCTTATCTGTACATCTTTTTTTTTTTACAGTTGGTAGTCATGAAACAACGAGTGTCTTCAAGAATAAGGAATAGAAAAGCAAGAGCAACTGTTCCAGCTGGAACACTCACATCTTTGGTGAATCAAAAGAATTATTGCTAGCTAAAAACGACAAGATCTAATCTCCACAAATCGTCAACGTTTAGAAGATGTAATTGAAGAAGAAGATCTTCTAGGATCACAGTCCAGAGACAGGAGTTCGTATACAAGCTGACTCAACTAACAATGTAGTGCAACTAGTGGAAGAACAACTTTAACTGAATTCTACTGCTCTTGAAGAAAATAAACAATGTGCAGACCAAGGCAAGAACATCAATATTTTATTTATAATGTTACTTGTCTTTTTTAATTATAAAATCAAATTACAAATACTACTTTGGAAGGGTAAATTTCTTTTGAGTATTATTGTAGAGTCCTCCACTAAAAAAAGACAAAGAGGTCAAACAAAGATGTTACCTGTACATGGAAGGCATATCGTAAACTGATTATACTGAATAAACTTGGTCAGCGCTGTTGGACCTAGTAATGATGTCGTGATAGAGTTGAGCAGCTTCCTTGGTACACTTGCTAGGAATGAGACCCTTTGTCCTCTTAATATAGAAAAGTGGAAGCTGATGGACACAATAGATGATATGTGGGATTATACCAAGGTTTCAAGTATTCAATTCTCTGTTAAGTTAAATATATTTAAAATTTATTGCATTAACTCAATGTTCAAATTTTCAGAAGAAATATGACATTCTAGAAATCAGTGTTAGATGGACTTTAAAAACAGGTCAAGAATCTTGGAGAAGGAGTAAGTTTGATTTGAAAGAACACCACTTTGATGCCTACGCTAATGATCAAATTCGGATGGAAAACAAGCCTGCTGATGTTCCAACATCTCAATTTAAGGAACTTCTTAAGTATTGGAACTTAGAAAAATTCCAGGTAAGTCTTACTAGTTTTTACTGGTTCAATTATGTTAAGTTGGAGTTTACATTATCATTTTCCCTTCTGTCCTTGTTGGATTTAGAATAACTTGTAATACATGTTTCTTGGTTGAAACTTACTCCTTATGGATTTAGTTACTTTTCTTTTAGTAACAGAATATTGTGATTAGCTGGTTTAGTGGTTATTTTTTCTCTTCATTCCCAAAATATTTTAAGTTATATAACTACAGAGCTCTTTTCTTCTGTAAGTGATCACTACCTGTTCTGTATCTTCTTTTTGGGAGCCACTGAGCTCTTATTTTATTTTTATGAATCAATGTAAAGAAAGTTTTCTCTTCTATAAAAATCACTTGATCATTGTGGAACTTCTCTTCTATTTGCAGAAAATGTCAAAAACCAATAGTGAGAATCGAAAAAAGTTGAAGAATCCACATACTGTTGGCAAGAAAAGCTTTGCTTTAGTTCTCAATGATTTGGTATGAGCTCTTGCATAGAATTGAATAAAAACTTGTCAAATTTTAAAAAAAATGTTGGATATCCACTTTTAATGTCTACAAGAAAATTAGAGGGAAAGTAGTGATACTCCATTAGCTAAGGAATTTTTTGTGGTTACATGAAAAAGAAAGCCCAATCGATCATACAAGGATACATATGAAGATACAAATACTAAAATTGTGATATTTCTATCTAATTTTTATTTTGTTAA